ACGGCGCGAGGTGGGGTGGTAAAATTGCCAGCCAGGCGCGTCAGGGGGAAAACCAAGGAAGACGCAGGGAATGGCGCGAGAGGAGAGCTTGTCCGCGGTGGTATTGCGGACAAAGGCACGAGAGCCCTAGACCTGGAATAGCGACGTATTGCCAACCTCTCCCGTCAAACGCAGTGTGGGCGAGGTCTCCGGCAAGGAGACACGGGGCTAGAGGTTGAGCTGATGCGCAGCGTACCGGACCGCAAACGGCCACAGAAAATGGGGAGCAGCCGCATGGATCATGGAGGTACGAGCGACCTCCATGACTAAGCCAATGCGGCGCTCAGCAACCCCATTCTACTGCGGAGAGGCCAGAAGCGTGAACGACTGGAGGATGCCCTCCCCCTGACAAAAGTCCCGCAAGAGGTCAGAGGAGAACTCACCACATCTGTCAGAGTGCAGACGCAAGACAGGGAAGTCCGTGCAGAACCGCTCGCGGAGCTAGAGACGAACAGCGCGGATCCAAGGGATCAGGACAGCAGGGACCTCACCCTTGCTGCGCAAGGGGAAGACCGTGGTGTAACGCGAGTAGTCGTCAACAACCAGCAGAAAGTACCGCTCACGGCCCTGTCCCTGGACGCGGGCTGGGCCCCACACGTCCATGTAGAGGGTCTGCAGGGGAGCAGTCGTCGGGGGAAACGAGGAGGAGTGAGGAGCGGCGCGCTGCCGCCCCTCGACGCAAGGAACGCAGGGCGGGGCAGGCGAGGGTGGGAGGGAAGGAAGAGACCTGGGAAGACCAGAGACAAGGAGGCGGGAGTGCATGCCACGAAGGCGTGGCAGGGAGGGGTGACCAAGGCGGTGGTGCCAAAGGAGGGTCTGGTGCGACAGGTGACGACACTCGCAGGGGGGAGCTACCTGACCTGACGCAGCCACCTGACCAGACGCAGCAACCTGAGGAGGCTCAGTAGTCAGTGTGTACAGACTCGACCCAGGCCGACGAGTGAACGTGGCCAGGTGACGGCCGGTCCGGGAGCACGTACAGATCGCCACACGCTGCCGTCCAGGGGTAAAGGTATCAACCTTGCATCCTGAAGGACAGCATTGCTTACCAAGTTCGTCGAGAACGAGAGGAGGTGGAGACCTGACAGTGAGCCGGACGGAACCGCCGGACACAGGAGCGCAGTGGAGGAGCGTGCAAGCACGGGACCCCCAGAGGGGTCAGCCAGGGAGACCGCAACCGGTCTAGGGAGCGGTGTGAGTGCGGTACTGTCACGAAAGAAACAAGGAGAATCACCTGAGTCAAGAGTGAAGGTGTGCAAGGCCTCAGCAGGCGCAGTACCAGACTCACTAGCACCTAGAGCAGCAGCCTCTATACCTGGGTCAGGCGGCATACACAAGTAACAGTCCCCATCAGCACTAACAGTCAATGCATACATGGCAGCAAGGATAGCATCAAAGTCAAGTGCAAAGATATAAATATCGCGCTTAAGCAGGTCCTCCCAGCGGGGGAGCTCCACTGCGTCAGGAAACTGGGCACGCCAAGCATCGTCAAGGCGGGAGAAGCAGCGGTACTCAGTGTGAAACTTGCCGCATGCATGTCTGACCAGCGCGGTCCCTAGTGCGAATGACATACTGGCAGTGAGCACTACCCCCAAACGCCCCACGCTGAGCGTACCACTCACGAAGCTGCTGGGGCGTGAGGGGCTCGTGCGGACGCTGCTGCTGCTGGCGCTGGCCACCACCAGCACCTCCCCGCTGAACAGCTCCATCACGTCCGCTACCACCGCTCCCACTGCCGCCACCACCTCCGCCGCCGCCACCACTACCACCGCTGCCCACCGTCCCGCTCCACTCCCGCCACTCCGCCTGCCGCTGCTACCCTTGCCTCCCCTGCCCTTGCCGCTTCCCACTAGGGGCAGAAGCGGCACCGACCTCCTCAGCACCAAGGAAGTCAACAGCAGCAGCAGAGGCGTGGGAGGGGGCAAGGGGGGAGGGGGCACACCCCTCAAAGAGGGGAGTGCGGGGAGTGCCACGAGCAGCACCGACAGCGACGATGTTGGACTCAGCTGCAAGAAGTTGCTTCTCGAGGTCGTCGACAATGAGGTCGGTGGGGGGGACGGCGAGAAAGTGGTCCCTGACTACGCGAAGAGAGTCAGGAAGTCTGGTAACGATGAAGTAGAGTGTGATGTACATCGAGGGAGGGTTCTTGGCTAAGAACTCGGCTGGGAGGTTGGCGCGGTAGCGTAGGTCACTAGCGCGAAGGTGGGCGATGAGGTCCTCAGCTGTGGCGAAGGAGGATAGCTTAGGGAACAGGTAGGGTAGAATAAGGCGGCTGAGAGCAGCAGTGGCTTGGGAAGAGTAGCGAGCGATGACAGCAGTGTACAGTGCCTTAGCAGTTTTGTGCTGGCCAAAGTGAGTGCGTTCGGCTAACGGCAGGTGGTTGCGAATGGCTAGGCGAGCAGCAGCGTCATGTGTAAGCCACTGTGAGCGAGTGAGGCTGTCAGCTGTGTCTGGTGGAGCGACTGAGGTGCCAGACGCAAGGTCAAAGAGGGATACGCCGTCTTTAGCATCAGTCATAAGGTACAGCTGCAGATCTTCGAGCCAGGCATCAAACTCTATCGGACGTCCGTCACGGTCAAATGACAGAACGTTGATAGATGCCATGGCTGTTAGAGCAGAAGAACAGTCTATTAGCAGTCAGAGGGTGCGCGTGGGGCTGTAGGAGCAGGGCGCAGGCCGTAAAGGCGGCGTGCAGGGCTGCGGAGGGTGCGCGCAGGTCTGCAGGGGCAGGGCGCAGGCTGCAAAGGTGGCGCGCGAGACTGCAAAGGGTGCGCGCAGGGCTGCAGCGAGTGTACGCGCGGCGGCAGTGGCAGGGCGAGGGCGGTAAGGGCCACGCACTAGCGGCGCGCGGGGCTGACGAGGCAGCGGGTAGCACGGGCGCGGGGCTGACGCGGCAGTGGGCGGTGCACGCGCGGGGCTGACGAGGCAGCGTGAGGGCTGCGCGGGCAGCGTGCGGGGCTGACGAGGCAACGGGCGGGCGGCATGTGGGGCTGACGAGGCAGCGAGTGGGCAGCGCGGGCGGCGCTCAGGGCTGACGAGGCAGCGGGCGGGTGGCGCGCGGGGCTGACGAGGCAGCGGGCGGGCTGCGCGAGCGGCGCACGGGTTGACGAGACAGCGGGCGGGCGGGTTGCGCGCGGGGCTGACGAGGCAGTGGGCGGGCTGCGCGAGCGGCGCGCGGGCTGACGAGGCAGCGGGCAGGCAGGTTGCGCGCGGGGCTGACGAGGCAGCGGGCGGGCTGCGCGAGCGGCGCGCGGGCTGACGAGGCAGCGTGCGGGCGGGTCGCGCGCGGGGCTGACAAGGCAGCGGGCGGGCTGCGCGAGCGGCGCTCGGGGCTGACGAGGCAGCGGGCAGGCGGCGCGCAGGCAGGGCAGCTAGGGCGTGGGGTAGCAGACGGTCCTAGGGACCTATTGCTCTGATACCATGTTGAAACTAACAGACAGGAATGAGTTGCATTGAATGAAACGTGGGTACAAGTACTAACCCTAACTTTGGGCTGTACCCCATATGGGCTACCCCACTATAGCCTACACAGAACTAGCACATATATAGTTTGACATCTTTTTTCCTCGCAGGTCCTTATAGGAAGTTTTGAGATTGCATTTGCAACATTGATATCAACTCCACTGAAACATTGTAAGATTTTTCCTGTAATCTCTCTTTCTCTCATTTTTTCTTCAAATTTTCCTTACTCTTTATTGATACTTGTGTTTCTGTTGACTTCGGTGTCATTGGTGTTGGAGATTTAGAAAGCGTCTTATTGCTTGTCAGAGTCTAGCAGGAATGAATGATGCATTGAAGAGAACTGTGAGTACAAGTGTTACACCATAGGCAAAGTGGGGGAGAACCAGTGGTCACAAGACCAGTCAAGAAAAACAAAGCAAGCTCAGGGTGGATCACGAAGTCAATACACATACTGAGCATAAGCAATGGGCCACAAGGCCAGTCCACATGCAGAGTTATATAAAACAAAGCAAACAGTACTGCAATCACAACCTAGCAAGAGTAAGCATGCAGGCATATATATATCTCTCTCAGTTTTTGCAAGGTCATGCAGTGAGCGAGTGAGAAAGCGTGGGCACGAGGCCTAAAGCAGTACAGAGACGCTGATGATCACCAGGCGGAAGTGCCTTGGTGAATATATCAGCTGTGTTGGCCCGAGTGGCCACGTAAGCAAGACGAAGCTGGCCACGCTGCTGCAACTCTCGAGCAAGGAAGTAACACAGAGCGATGTGCTTCGTTCTGTGCTCCAGTCGGTGCTCCTCACACAAGGCAATAGCGGCCTTGTTGTCGACGTACAGAACTAGAGGAGAACTAGGCCGCTCTCCCAAGTCGGTCAGCAGGTAGGTGAGCCGGCGTAACTCCTGTGCAGCCATGGCTCCTGCGTAGATCTCAGCCTCACAACTGGAGCTGAGAACAGAAGACGAGCGGGTAGACCGCCAAGAGACAGAGCCGGAACCAAGGCTGAACGTGTAACCCTGTGACGACCGCTACGTAGCTAGGTCGTCAACCCAAGAGGCGTCTGAGTGTCCAGTGAGGACAACTCGACCCCGTCCTCCAAGCACCAGCCCCATGCACGATGTACTGCACAAGTAGCACAGTACCCTCTTAGCAGCCTCCCAGTGCTCTCGTCGGTGTCTCCCAGGCGCAACGTAGCGAGCCAGGATGCTAAGAGGGTACGCAAGGTCAGGTCGCGTGCAGGTCATCAGGTACATGAGGCAGCCCACAAGCTCTGTATATGGGCCACTTGGCTCTACGGACTCGTCCGAAGGTGGAGCTGAGAGCGAGTGACCGGTAGGCAGAGGAGTGGACTGTGGTGAGGAGAACTGGAAGCCGAAGCGCTGAAGGACCTGCTGCACCATGTGTGACTGAGTCAGGGTGATGGTGCGGCGTGCTCTGTCCCGTGTGATCTGCAAGCCAAGGTAGCTGCACAGCTCACCCAGGTCTGTGCACGTGTGTCTCTTCTACAGCTCCGACTTCACAAGGGCGAGTGCCTCAGTGTCAGCAGTGGCGAAGACCAAGTCGTCGACGTACACGAGGATGTAGAACGGCGGCAGCGAAGTGTCGGTGCGCAGAAACAATGACGGGTCAGCAGTGGAGGGAGCAAACCCAAGAGCCGCAAGTGTCGTTCTCAGTGTGTCGTGCCACTCACGAGGCGCCTGGCGGAGACCGTAGACTAGCCGCCGGAGGCTCCACTGGGTTCCAGGAGGGAACGACCCAGTGAAGCCAGGTGGGCGGCGCAGCCAGATCTCCTCATGCAGGCTGCCCTGCAAGAACGCTGTGCTGAAGTCAAGAGAGTGAAGCTCGTAGTCACGCTGAGTGGCAACGTGCAGCAGCACCCGAAGAGTGGTCATCTTCGAGGTAGGGGAGAAGGTCTGAAAGAAGTCAACTCCCTGTCGCTGACTGAAGCCTCATGCAACGTAACGAGCCTTGAAGACAGGCGGAGAACCCGACGGCCGCTTCACCCTGAAAATCCACATGCCATCGACTATGTTCGCCCTAGGAGGGGGAACCTCGTCAACGTAGGTGCCTGTGGACTTCCAGAATGCCATCTCTGCGTCCATGGCTGTCTGCCACTGAGAGGAGTAGGGACCCGAGATCGCCTCTGTGTAAGAGCGCGGGGTCGGGATGTCTAGTGCATCCGGGTCTCCCTCAGGCGCAAGCAGCCAGGCCACGAGATGAGGTACAGCAGCCGCAAGACAGTCAAAGTCCTCCTGCCTGTCCTCAAGGACGTCCGTGCCAAGAGCACACTCACCCCCGACGGACGGAGGATAGACAGACTCAGACTCAGCAACAAGACTAGTGGCGTAGTCTAGACGACATGCAGCAGCAAAGTCAACAAGCTCAGCAACTAAGGCAGACGCAGCAGCGGACTCAAAAGAAGGGTCAGTGACAACAGTGGCCAGGAGACGCGTGACAGTAGGGTGAGCAGCACGAACCAGGTCAGACTCAGGGTCCGGGAGGTCAGGAAGAGAGGACGCAGGAGGAGACGGCAGAGGGACGCGCTGTAGAACCTAGGAAGGACGAAGCGCCATAGTGTGAGTACTTGGCACAGGAGGAGGACGCGGACGCGGGACACGACGAGCACGGCGAACAGTGCAAACAGGGGAGGCAGGACGAGACGCAGGCTTACGACGCTCTGTAAGGGAGACCGGCTGCGCAGAGTAACGAGACGGGGCAGGCAACGGTGAGTCCGGAGGAAGGGCAGTGGACGAAGGAAGACTAAGAACCGACTCGGGCGGAAGCTCGGACAGCTGCGGCGGCGGCAAGAAAAACGGTCGCTGCTGCACAGGGCCTCCAGCTCCAGCACCTCCAGCAGCAGTGCCTCCAGCGCCAACGCCTCCAGCTCCAGCGCCTCCAGCTCCAGCGCCTCCAGCTCCAGTGCCTCCAGCTCCAGCGCCTCCAGCTCCAGCACCTCCAACTCGAGCACCTCCAGCGTCAGCACCTCCAGCTCCAGCACCTCCAGCTCCAGTGCCTCCAGCTCCAGCGCCTCCAGCTCCAGTGCCTCCAGCTCCAGCGCCTCCAGCTCCAGCGCCTCCAGCTCCAGCACCTCCAGCACCAGCACCTCCCACTCCAGCACCTGTAGCTCTATTGCCTCGAGCTCCAGCGCCTCCAGCTCCAGCACCTCCAGTGGTAGCACCTCCAGCTCCAGCACCTCCGACTCCAGCGCCTCCAGCTCTGGCGCCTCCAGCTCTAGCGCCTCCAGCTCCAGCGCCTCCACTACCAGCGCCTCCAGCTCCAGCAGCGCGACTCCGAAGGCGGGTGCGCTGAGCAAACCACTCGCGCAGCTGCTGTGGTGAGAGGGGCTCGCGCTGGCGAGTCCGCTGCGGCGAGGCGCCCGGAAGACCACCAGCAGACGCAGTACCACCAGGCTCAGCACCCCCAGAAGCAGCACCCCCAGGCTCAGCACCCCGAGGCTCCGCACGCTCAGGCTCGACACCCCCAGGCACCGCACGCTCAAGCTCAGCACCACCAGACCCAGTACCCCGAGCAGCACCACCCCCAGCAGCACCTGGGTCAGCAGCGGCGCGACTTCGAAGGCGTGTGCGCCGAGCAAACCACTAGCGCAGATGCTGAGGTGAGAGAGGCTCCCACTGACCAGACCACTGCGGCGAGGCACTCTGAGGACCTCCAGCAGACGCAGCACTACCAAGCACAGGACCCCAGACTCAGCACCAGCAAGCTCAGCACCCCTAGACGCAGCACCCCTAGGCTCAGCACCCCCAGGCTCCGCAACATGCTCAGGCTCAGCACCCCCAAACGCAGCACCCCGAGCAGGACCACCCCCAGCAGCACCTGAGTCACCAGTGACCTCGACAGGCTCAGCCAAGGGAAGTGGGTCTACCTGAGAGACACCTGAAGGAGCAGGACCCTGAGGGGGGAGGGGGTCTACCGGAGGGGGACCTGGAGCGAGGAAGAGCGGCGGGGGGGGGGGGCAGTGCGGTAGGGGAAGAGACGGTAAAAGAGAGCCGACTCGTCAAACGTGACGTCCTGAGAGGGGAAGACACGGCGCGAGGTGGGGTGGTAAAACTGCCAGCCAGGCACATTAGGGGGAAAGCCAAGGAAGACACAGGGAATGGCGCGAGAAGAGAGCTTGTCCGTGGTGGTATTGCGGACAAAGGCACGAGAGCCCTAGACCCGGAACCGCGACGCATCGCCAACCTCCCCCGTCCAACGCAGTGTGGGCGAGGTCTCCGGCAAGGAGACACGGGGCTAGAGGTTGAGCTGATGCGCAGTGTACCGGACCGCAAACGGCCACAGAAAATGGGGAGCAGCCGCATGGATCATGGAGGTACGAGCGACCTCTATGACTAAGCCAATGCGGCGCTCAGCAACCCAATTCTGCTGCAGAGAGGCCGGAAGCGTGAACGATTGGAGGATGCCCTCCCCCTGACAAAAGTCCCGCAAGAGGTCAGAGGAGAACTCACCACCTCTGTCAGAGTGCAAACGCAGGACAGGGAAGTCCGTGCGGAACCGTTCGCGGAGCTGGAGACGAACAGCGCGGATCTAGGGGATCAAGACATCAGGGACCTCACCCTTGCTGCGCAAGGGGAAGACCGTGGTGTAACGCGAGTAGTCATCAACAACCAGCAGAAAGTACAGCTCGTGGCCCTGTCCCTGGATGCGGGCTGGGCCCCACACGTCCATGTGGAGAGTCTGCAGGGGAGCAGTCGTCGGGGGAAACGAGGAGGAGTGAGGAGCGGCGCGCTGCCGCCCCTCGACGCAAGGAATGCAGGGCGGGGCAGGCGAGGGTGGGAGGGAAGGCAGAGACCTGGGAAGACCAGAGACCAGGAGGCGAGAGTGCATGCAACGGAGGCGTGGCATGGAGGGGTGACCAAGGGAGTGGTGCTAAAGGAGGGTCTAGTGTGACAGGCCGCGACACTCACAGGAGGCTGCTACCTGACCGGACGCAGTCACCTGAGCAGACGCAGCGACTTGAGGCGGCGCACTGGTCAGTGCCCAGGCCGACGGGTGAACTTGGCCAGCTGACGGCCAGTCCGGGAGCACGTGCAGATCGCCACACGCTGCCCTCCAGGGGTAAAGGTATCAACCCCTGCATCCTGAAGGATGGCGTTACTCACCAAGTTTGTCGAGAACGAGGGGAGGTGGAGACCGGACAGTGAACCAGACGGAACCGCTGGACACGGGAGAACAGTGGAGGAACGTGCAAGAACTGGGCCCCCAGAGGGGTCAGCCAGTGAGACTGCAACGGGTCTAGGGAGTGGTGTGACTGTGGTACTGTCACGAAAGAAGCAGCGACAAGCACCTGAGTCAAGCTTGAAGGTTTGCAAGGCCTCAGCAGGCGCAGTACCAGAGAGAGCAGACTCACTAGCACCTGGAGCAGCAGCCTCTATACCTGGGTCGGGCGGCACACACAGGTAACAGTCACCCTCAGTACTGACTGTCAAAGCAGACATGGCAGTAAGGATTGCGTCAAAGTCTAGAGTAAAAATATCCACGCTGCGTCGAAACAGCTCTAGCCAGTGGGGGAGCTCAGCCTCGTCGCCAAACTCTGCGCGCCAGGCGTCGCTCAGATAGGCGAAGCAGCGGGACTGTGTGTGGCCAACTGTCCCGCAAGTCTGACCAGCCCGAGCACCTGTGCGAATGACGTACGGGCAGCGAGCAGTACTCCGAGACGTCCCTCGCTGAACGTACCACTCACGAAGCTGCTGGGGCGTAAGGGTCTCGCGCGGACGCCGCTGCAGCTGCACCTGGCGACCACCAGCCCTAGCGCCGCTAGCTCCAGCGCCTCCACCTCCATTGCCTCCAACTCCAGCAGCGCCACTCAGAAGGCGGTTGCGCCTAGCGTACCACTCGCGCAGCTGCTGTGGCGTAAGGGTCTCGTGCGGACGCCACTGCAGCTACATCTGGCTACCGCCAGAAACTCCCCACCGAACAGCTCCACCGCGACTGCCATTACGGCTGCTGCCACCACTCTCACTGCTGCCACCACCGCCGCCACCAATCCCACCGCTACCACGAAGAGAACTCATAGTGGGCAAACCGAGGAGGCGTGCGACCAGCAGGGCAGCACTCAGAGAAGTCAGGGCGGCGAGGAGGCACTAGGGTAGTGTGTAGGGTAGGGCAGGGCGCCGTACGGCCAGAGAAGGGCGGTGCGCGGCCAAGTAGGGCGGCGGTTGGTCAGCGGGGCTGAGCGCGGGCTGTAGAGGGCGGCGTGTCGGCAGGGGCGAGCGCGGCTGCAGGGGCGAGCGCGGGCTGCAGGGGCGAGCGCGGCTGCAGGGGCGAGCGCGGGCTGCAGGGGCGAGCGCGGGCCGTAGGGGCGAGCGCGGGCTGCAGGGGCGAGCGCGGCTGCAGGGGCGAGCGCGGGTTGCTGGGGCGAGCGCGGGCTGCAGGGGCGAGCGCGGCTGCAGGGGCGAGCGCGGGCTGCAGGGGCGAGCGCGGGCGGGCTGGGGCAGCCCGCACGGGCGACGCGACGGGCCAGGGCACGGCTTACGGGCAACGCGGCGGGCTGAAGCAGCGCGCACGAGCGACGTGACGGGCTGGGGCAGCACGCACGGGCGACGCGACTGGCCAGGGCAGGGCGTACGGGCGACGCGGCGGGCTGGAGCAGCGCGCACGAGCGACGCAGCGCGCGGCAGGGCATGGCGTGCGCGGGGCAGGGCAGGGCGCGCGGGCAGGGAAGGCCAGGCGCGCGGGCAAGGCAGAGGCGAACGCGCAGGCAGTGCAGGGCTGGGCGCGTGGGTTGGGCAGAGGCAGCGCGAGGGCTGCAGGGGCGGCGCACGGGGCAGGGGAGGCAGCGCGAGGGCTGTAGTGGCGGCGCGCGGGGCCGCAGAGGCAGCGCGACGGCAGCAAGGAGCTGCGCGCAGGGCTGCAAAGGTAGCGCGCGGGCTACACGGGCGGCGCGCGGGGCTGGAGACAGGTGGCGCGCGGGCTGCACGAGGCAGCGCGCGCGTGCGGTTCAGGGCAGGGCAATGCGTGGGGTAGCGCGGTAACAGCAGTCGGTCACTAAGCAGATGGTGGGCCCGAAAAAAAACGGTCTTACGGACCTACTGCTCTGATACCATGTCAGAATCTAGCAGCAGGAATGAATGATGCATTGAAGAGGATTGTGAGTACAAGTGCTAACCCTAATCTGGGTTGTACCCCTTATGGGCTACCCCACTACAGCCTACAGACAACAAGCACCATTGTAGTTTGACATTGCTTCATACTGGATTCTATTTTTTTTCGCCTTTTCTTTCGCATGATAATTTCTGTTCTCCTTTCGCCTACGTTTCTGTTACTTAGTTCTTTCTCTCCTTATCTTCCCAGTCTTCTTAAGATGGAAACGATTCCGACTTAGCTTGATAGGCGAATCAGGGCACGTAGGTCAATTCGACCTAGCTAGGCCTTTCCTTATTATTTCCGCTTGCTGCTGTTATCGGCTTCCCTTTCCTGCCTCTGGTATTTGCTTTTGGTTCCTACCGTAATCACCCGGACATACCACCCGCCGAAATTGAAGACCCCCCGGGTGGCTTGAAGTCCCGGACATATGCATATATCATTGTTTGTTTGTTTGTTTGTTTGTTTGTTTGTTTGTTTTTTTTTGCTTATATGAATTATACACCAGAACACAAGTGTACAATGCATAAACAGTCGTAACTGTGCATGAGAGACAGGAAGTCCCGCCTCAGAATATCTGATCCTCAGACATGGATCGGGGGCCTGCGTGGTTTGCCCCAAATTGCCGCGAAACTGTTGGACCACTTCCAACCTTTGCCATCCACCACTCTAATCCGGTTCAGAAGATCACGATCTTGCTCCGTCATTTTTTGCCACCTGGCGAGCTGACCCGTCCCTCGCTGCTGCATCCTTGCCACCGAGGCACGCACATAGACGTTCACATGCATGCGAAAAGCTGACTGGACCCTCCGCAGAACTTCTGCGTGCGGAATTTGCAGCCTCTGAAGGCTCCTTCACACCTTTCCGCCCCTAGCTGATGAAGGGCGATCGCTATCAACGATGCCTCTGGAAACGCTGACAGGGACCCCGCCTTGCCAAACAGCCAATCACCGAGCGAGTCACCTTTCCTGGCTGGGTTAATCATCCTTAAGACCTTTTTAACCGCCGAAACTACCCCTTGAGTTCTCGGGCACCCAAAAAACAGTGTTCGAGTGTCTCGAAACCACCACAGTGTAGACAGACAGGTTTGCTGCTGAGAAACTCCAGTCTCTCCCCAACTTGCAAGTTGAGGCAGTGGACGCGTAGCAAAACATCCCTCGGCCGACTCGGGGTAACCAGTGATTCCCGAATCTGTACTACCCACGTCCAATCGATGATGTCACCCCATCGGCTCGCCCATTTCTCCCGCCTGTTCTCCCCGCTGCTGCCGTGTTTCTAGTGTCGCCTGAGCAACCTCAGCGGAGCTGCTTTCCCCTTCGCCAACAGTTTTTCCCGGAGCCGTAGAGGGCCTCTTCTTCCCACCTCAAACATCTCCATAAACCCCACGTTCGGAAGCTTGGCAAAGAGGACCTGTTTCCTCCACGCTTCTGGTGCTGCTGCAAAAGCCTTGAGCGCCAGGCTTGCTGAATCTTTCCCCCGCAGCTCTCTCTCCAAGGTTTCCAAGCTTTTCAGCACCCCATTTCCTTCCGCGTCTCTCCCAACAAGATCACCGAGTCTGACATCAAGGAGCCGTTTCACTGCTTTCTGCCCACCCACCGGCGAAGTTCCTTTTAGGAGGATGTGCCTGTTAAACGTAATCCTCTCCATCATCAGCTCCTTCGTCTCGCGGACCTCCG